GACACATAGTTCTGTCATCTAAAGAAGGACTTGGCTGGGGAGGGGCTCTGAAGGTATGGCCGGGGGTGGGGAGGAGCAATGGCTAGTACAGTGCCAAAGAAACTGCCACCTGAAAATATGTTTGTTTTCACATTTTAAGGTTTTATAAATTTTCTTAGTCATTCTCTTTCAGGATCAAAATGGACAAATCAATATGCAAGCCGAATCTAGTTTTTCTTCTTAATTATCAATTGTTAAACAAAAACAAGCTAATTTACAACTTCTAAAGCTGAGAAGGCCCTTCAAAAATAATGACACATATAGTACAGTATTTTACTGTGTGCATTATGTCCCCATTTGCCTGTTTTGTCCTCAGATGCTCAAAGGATTTCTCATTCATGCAGTTGTGAGAGATGCCAAAACATTTAAGACCAAAAGGAAATAAATATTCTTTTCTAATTTCCTTTGCTAGACTCCTTATATAATCAATGTTCATACTCCTTCCTTTAAGAATTTTAGAACAGAGCGAGGAAGAGAAATAAAATTAAATTAACAATCACAACCTATGTCATTCTTTTAATTTCTCCCTCCCCCTGTGCTACTGCTACATTTGCCTTGAGTTTCTGACATTTAGCAGATTCATAAAATAAATAACCTAATTATTTATTTTCTCCCCACCCCTCCCCCACAGTACAGTGGAGAGCAATCAATGAATGGAATCCTCGCTTTTGAATGAAGAGAAATAACCAGATGACTAAGAGCTTATGATCTCCTCTTTTGTATACCAGCTAGACAGAGCACAGTGAGAGGAACCTATAAAATTCCATACCTTTCGAGCTGGAACCTGCGAGAAACAATGAACTCTTCCTATTGCAATGATATATGTTTCATACAAGATCACACACTAGATCAATATTTGTTTCCTGCTCTTTACGGCATTTTGATTATCATCAGCATTCCTGCTAACTCTGTAGCCATTTTCATATCTTACTGTGAAGTGAAGAAAAAAAATGAACTTGGGGTCTATCTCTTCAGTTTATCTTTAGCTGATCTCCTCTATACGCTGACTCTGCCCCTGTGGATTTATTATGCACAAAATGGGGATGACTGGATCCTTCCCCCGAACCTTTGTAATTTGTCTGCTTTCCTCAAGTATCTGAATTATTACACCAGCTCTGGATTTCTCACCTGCATTTCCCTTGATCGATACATAGCCATAGTTTACCCTATGCGGTTCCATTATCTGCGTACGAGAAGAGTTGCCTTTTTTATTTCTGTCTTTGTTTGGGCCTTTGAAATCATATCAAACTACATGATTTTAATTGAAAAAGAAACATTTACAGAACAGAACATCACCAACCACTCCAACCATACTTTGTGTCATGATAAATATCCTCTAGAAAAGTGGCAAGCTCAGTTGAATTTTTACCGGGTCGGTGTGGGGTATGTGATCCCCTTGGCTATCATGGTGTTCTGCTACCAGAAAATCTACCAAGCAGTGAAGCATAATCAAGCAACGCAAGACAGTGACAAGAGGAGAATCAACCACTTACTGCTGAGCATTGTCAGCACTTTCTTTTTGTGCTTCACCCCGTATCATGTTGTTCTGCTCCTGCGCAGCATCTCTGAGCCGTGTAACTGCCCTTTTGCCCGAAGGATGTTCATACCCTATAGAATTACGACTGCTCTGACGAGCATAAATTGTATAGCTGACCCATTTCTCTATTGCTTTGTGAGTGAAACCGGACGAAGTGATATCTGGAACATGTTCATGTGTGTCTTTTCTGCTAGTCAAACAGAGATACAGAAGACTCAAAATGTTCCTGAGTCCAGTTGTTCGGAAGATAAAAATGTGAAGGTTCCAGAAACAGAAACATTCTTATAAGCATTTGCACAACTTGCAAAGTTGAACATGATAAGTGTGGAATTGTCTTATTCTCTTCATTTTAGGAGTCCAATATTCTTCTGTCTCCTATCTAGAAGGTGCTGTAGATCTGTGATGTTTCCCATGATGTTTCACTGCCTGAGGCATGGTGCCCTCCCCTTCTATCACCCACAGAAGGGTCATGAATTACCAGCATGATTCAGCTCCAACAGTGGCAGCAAGACAGTGTTCTTTTCTGTACCTCAGGGGAGCATGTTGATTTATAGGGTATAGGGCAGGTCATGTGTCATCTGCAGCTCTTGCCCTCTAGAGGAATGTTTCCCAACAATGGATCCCCAAATGTTCTTAAACTAGATCTTGCAGAAGCCTTCACCATTAGCTGTGCTGGCCAGACTTTCTGAGAATCGTAGTCCAAGAAAATCTTTGGGACGCAACGTTGGGAACCACTACTCAAGGGAATGGTCTAGGCAGTTCAAGAGGATTGAGTAGGAAGTTGCAGCTGTTGCTGCTGCCCCCTAGCATCTACTAGCTGAACCACTTGTCTTACTCTGCCTTATGAAGGCAGGCTATGCTATAGATCAACCAGAGGCTGCTTCTGGGGGTTGACACATACTGTATGTAATTATCTGAGCCTTCTTCTAGTTCTTTCTGCCCTTTCCCCCAGGAAGAGTAGCTTCAGGTTATGGTGGACTATGTCATCATCTGCTAAGAACTAGAAGAGAGCATCATGCAAACACTCACATGTTGTTAACATTTTACACTGTACCTCTCTGATAGATGTAAAATATTGTTCAGTGTTGACTGAAAAACAAAAGGATAAATATTATAACCGCACTTGATTTTATATTTTATCAAATAAAATGTCCCTTTACTAGATAGACTGTTTTGTTCCTCATGCTAGAGCATTGTGCCGGAGAAGCAGAAATGAATCCACATATGTTACTTGAGATAAACGAAATATAGAATTTATTGTTATGAAAAGTATACTACTAGCGTTTATGAAACTGCAATGGTTAGCTTTTTTTTCTGCTCATAGTACTTTAAAAATATCCCCTGGTTCTTCCAATTAGTGCTATAGTCAAATTTCAGTATACTAATTAAGGCAAATTAGAATTTCAGGTGTAATGTGTGGGATTCACTTTTTGTAATGTAGGTGATCACTTTTTGTAATGTAGGAGGCATGGCCACCAGAGATGTTCTCACCTGGGTGTAGTAGTAGTAGTAGTAGTAGTAGTAGTAGTAGTAGTAGTAGTAGTAGTAGTAGTAGTAGTAGTAGTAGTAGTAGTAGTAGTAGTAGTAAGTAGAGTAGTAGTAGTAGTAGTAGTAGTAGTAGTAGTAGTAGTAGTAGTAGTATTAGTAGTATTAGTATTAGTATTAGTAGTAGTAGTAGTAGTAGTAGTAGTATGGTAATGCTAATGGAACTTAACTGCCTATTCAACCCACACTGAAATCCTTTGAAATCCTAACAGGGATACCTTGTAACAATTGCTGAGAAAAATCTATCTAGTCCTGCCCAGCTACTCTAAGGATTACAGCTAAAATAAGGGAAGATGGGGAAATTTGAGAGGAGTACAGATGATACTCAAATGGACCCTGCCAGCTGTGGCTGTACAACATCTGTAGTATTGATCGGGTATCCTGCACCCTGCTGATTTTTATTTACTAGCAGATTGTTTCTTTCAAATTCCCTTTGCCCACCTCTCCAGCTCCAGCTAACTGACTTCTCTTAATGGAGTACTGTAACAGCATCCCAGGCTTTACAGATACAGTACACTCTTCCCTCTCTTAAAAAAAAATCTAGATGTACCTTTTTTGTCATTTGCCTTCACCACCAGCAAGTCAGAGCTGTATTTTATCCATTTAAGCCAATAGGTTGCTATAGGAACACATACTATAGGAAATGGAAAAACAGTAGCCAGATACTATCAAGGATGTGGGTGGCAACTAACTTTTAATATAGCCTTGAGCTATTATACAGGCAGTCTTCAGGCACAGTACTTTTTTTCTTACGTCTATAGATGCCACATGCATGCGTATATTTATAGCAGTAACTAAGTCTGGCAATCTGAATTTTGTTAGGAGATTCAAGTTGACTTGGTCAGGCTGCTCAGTCAAAAGCTGGTTGAACAAAGTTGCTAAGAATGCAGTCTACGGCTAAAATCCTGTTCTTAGCAGGACTTTCTGTCCATTCCTCTCTATTAAACAAAGTCCCTTTGCTGCAGTCTCAGGGGGATGGACTTGCACGTAGCAAGCCTGGGTGCATGCAAGCCCCTGAGAATTGCAGCAGCAGCAATTAATTTACATGGAAAAAAGGATGGAAGGTTACAGTAGGGCTTACACTACAATAGGATTTCAGCCTAAGAACCAGAAGGTCCAAATCTTAAAGCGGTAATTGTGAAGACAATAATAGGCAAAATCCTAGCAAGTTTTGACAATGACACTTTCTGGTAAATCTTATTGTGAATTGCTGCACGTTAAACAGTTATTTTCCGCATTTGCTGTTGTGCATTGAGCCAACAGCAAACACAACAACAAATGGCTATGCAAACTTCATAAACTGCAGCAATACATCAATGAGATTTATGTTGGCAGGTGTAACTAAGAGAATTTTGGCCTTCAGAAAAGAAGCTTTTGCATCCACTATTCGGATAATGTAGGTGAAAAAAATATTTTTATTTTTTGCTTCAAGCTACTTCAAACATACCTAAAGTTTATTATTTATTATATTTTCACCCCATATTTCCACTAAAAGACAGAGTTCAAGGCAGTTGGAAACATGCGATTCACTTTCAGTAGAACACGTGGAATTAATTTTAACTCCAAATTCCCATGCTCTGACCAAAATCCTGTAAAGTCCCATAGGTATAACTGTGCCAGAAGTTACATCAAGGGGACAAGGTGATTACGCAAGTTTATTGTGCAATTGGTCATGTGGTTCTTGTCACAACCAGATATGCAAAGTGCCTGCAGAAGTGGTTCATGAATAGCAACTCTGCCTTGGTGCCATTACATTATGCAGCTACCGCTTGCACAACATTGAGTTATGCAGTCAGATCTACTCATTAGGATTTGAACCGGTAAACAAAAATAGTTTGCTGCTCTATGGTGGGGACGGATTGAAAGAGAGCCAAGCAACTGTGAAGGAACCTAGCATTTCCTTTAATCTGTGGGTTTTTAATGTATGTCTGAAATTAACCACCACTTAAAACAATTTATTATCAACCATAAAGCTTTGTTTAACTACCTTATTATTTTGTATAACATATAACACCTGCAGAGAAAGAGAACAATAATTTATTAACATTGATGTTTTGCATTAACATCACTCCTGTCCTCCCTCCTTCTTGTAGGTCAGACCCTGGAATTCTTACTCTTTGATATCAGATAGCAACCTGATATATGGGAACTTCTGGGAGTCACAGTCCAAAAATAACATTTCTAAGCTCCGGGAAAGGAAGGAAGGAAGGATCTTTGATACTTACCCTGAGAAGGATGCCAAGGAGTGGTTCAATGCTTTAAAAATTGAATAATGAAATAAATGAATGTTTGCACGTACGAGTCACGCAAACTAAGCCCAGTCATTCTATGCTCTGTGGAATAATGTGACCTAAATTTATGAACTTGCTTGTCTGCATTTATTCTTGTACAGCATAGCACAACAAAAGGAGCTAAAACAATTGGCTTAAGCTATCTTTTTCACTAGAGGGCAGTTTATGTCCATGTCTTGCAGAGAGATGTGAAAACTATTATTAGGAGGGGCAGAGGAATCTCTTCACTTACCAGTTGAAAAGCAAGTTCTGCCTTAAAGCCCCCCTCATTTAAAGAAGACCTTGGGAACAGTTGTTGTCTCAGCTCAACTGGAACATACCCAGTATATATATAAAACCCCAGACGTTCTACAAGATCACAGTTTTTCCTTCACTGTACTTGGGCAATGGTCCCTCAACAGATAAGAGCTGGTGGCCTATGTGTCCTGGCCTCAGTCCCAGTGCCCTCAGGCATGCCAACCATGCCTTCTAATAAAATGATAATTATACACTGTCATGTTAATTCAGACTTATTGTGATCCTTTCCAGAGTTTTCCAGGTAGAGGACACTCAGAAATGGTATTCCCTTCCTCTGAGGGCACTCTGGGACTGTGCAATTTGCCCAAGGCCACAGAGGTGGGCTGTTCTCTCAGAAGGCACAGTGGGAAATAAAACTCCTAACCGGACACATAAACCACTGAGCTCTCCACCCAGCCATGCCTGCTAAAGGCCAAACTATATGTTACAACTAACCAGTTATTAGAAGCTAAAATCCATTGGCCTTCCAGAGACATGTTTCAGGCAGACCTTAATGACTGAATGATCATGCTTGCAGATGAACCCTGTGTTTGCTCCCAGTGGCCAATTATAAAAGAAAGTAAGTTCCTTAGCAAATAATGGGAGATGTAAAAGGCTCCTGTTCTGACAATCAGATGCTCTTAGAACTTAAGGAATTTCATCTTTTATTGAGAGGTTATCAATAGCATGTAGATTATCCCACAATCTCTGACTTCCAGATGTTGATTGGAAAGGGTCCTACACAATTCAATATAATTTAATAATAATTTACATAAAAATTCACAGGCTCTCATGACATTTGAAATAATCTACCCAAGCAGGATAATTTATACTGTCTTGGAGCCTCTCTTGAAGTCAAGAGAGGAATGTCTGCCCCCCATAGCTGTTCTCTTTAAGAGAAGAAATTTTTAAAAATCTGTTACCTCAGACATTACAATGTAAGGCTCTTCCATTTCCTGTATAATCATCTTATATAGCTTTACAGTCTTGATGTTCCCTTATTTGATCTTCCAGTTCTGTGACTGTTTATAATGGACTAGAACCATCTTAATATATTCATTCATTTGAAAAGCCTTTCAAGGTATGATTCCTCAAATGATAGTGTGATTATGTGGCCTGATAAGCAGGACAATTTATATCATCAACAAACCCAGGAGTCAGTGAAGGGATCTGCTTAATATTCAGTTCCATGCCTTCCGGAAGAAAATATAACCTTGTGGCCACTCAGCCTAGCAATGTAAGTCCAATTAACGTTAGGCTGAATAAATTAAAGCATTCTTTTGTTTACCCTAAGGAAAATGGCATCACACTACAAACGGTATTAACTTTTAGTGTTTGAAATTCAGCCTAATTAGGCCCCACACTTCTCACTGGTATGATATCCAGGAATATGTGAGACATCGAAAGAATGACTTTGATCTGAGATTCAGATAAATCTATTTTAAAGAATAAACTCAAATATATAATTATCAGTTCAAATAGCTTTTATCAGTTTTTATGTATGGAAATGCAGTACACAATTGTAGAGGTAGGTGGTGCAATGCTAGGTACCAAAGACATACATTTCAAACAATGGTTAATATCATGCTGAGAGCACAAGAGAAATCACAGAACCCTTCCCCAACTCCAGCATGACTAATCATGTAACTCGTTTCACGATCAGTGTCCCAACCAATGTGAGATTGGGCATAAAACAGGAGCCTGTCAGAATCAGGAGAGCACTTATGTGATTGCCCTTCCACAGTCACATGACACAACAGAATATTCACCAATTGATCAAGAATTCATTGCAGTGCCAGAATGCAATAGATGTACCCTGATGAGGCTAAGAAAGATGTGAATGTCATACTGTGGGGGGAACTGAGACCATAGGACGCTTAAAGGATATGAGCCAGGAAGCTATTTTCTCCCTTAGACAAGAACAAAACAGCAGCTAGAAAGCACTCTCCATGAATTCCCAGTGCCACCTGTTGACTAACTTGTGTATGAACACACTTCTCTCTTTCCATGGCCCTAGTCTTGTGGCAGCTTAGAAACAAACAAATAT